CCTTAAGACCAGCTGACCAAGGAAGACAAAACTCAAGCCTGGCATATAGACGGGCTTGTACAACATGCTGGTACAACCCACAAGTGGACAGGTGCAGAACTTCATTCCCACTCAAGGGTGACACCAAAGGATAGTAGTGTCCTCCCAGTTATCTCACGGCCTTATAACATCAAGGTCAAGGGTTCTGTTCCCCGTACCAACCAGCCACCAAAAAAAAAAAAAGGAACAGGATTGTAAGACTGGTGAAAAGAAGTCTGGGGAAGAGGTACATGGATCCACCCCCTTAAGTGAGTGTATACCATGAAAATGTGTGTCCCATATGAATGCCCACCAAAAGGCATCCACTGCAGAGGAACTCAACAATCAGGTGTACACAAATGACATGGTCTGTGTATGTCAGTCAGCAGCCTCTTTCTCCAGTCACTCCCAGTGCTTGCTCAATGAGTCCATGAGCCACTTTGGCAGAGATGGACAGCATGGGATCAACACAGACTTCCCTTCCCCTAATCTGAGTACTACTTCTGCTGAGTGCCTGATTTACCAATAGCAGAGATTAACATTGAGTTCCTGATATGGCACCATTCCTCATGGTCATCAGCCTGGTACCAGGTGGCTGGGTGATTATTCCATTATTCCATCATGGAGGAGGCAGAGATTCATCCTCAGAGGAACAGGAACACTCTTGATATGGATTTGCTTTCCCTGCCAGCACCTCCATCCATGGATTCACAGAATGTCTTATCAGCTATTACGGTATTCAACACTGCATTGCCTTTGATCAAAAAACTCTTTTCAAAGCAATGAAGTACAGCAATGGCCTCATACCCATAAAATTCACTCGTCTTAGCATATACTCCACCATCTGGAAGCAGCCAGCCTAACCGAAAGGTAGATTGGCTTACTGAAAGCTCAGTTACAGCACCAGTTGGTATTTTGTTTTACAGGATGCAGTATATGCTTTGAATTAGAGACCATTCTATGGTGCTATCTTTCCCATAGCCAAATACATTGGTCTAGAAAACGGATACATGTCAGATTGACTCTTCTACTACACTTTATAATCTTCTTGCAGAATTCTTGCTTCCTGTCCCAGCAACTTTGAGGTCCATTGGTTTGGAGACTCACCTTAGTCTTCAGAGGAGAATTGCTTTTACCAGAGGACACAACAATGGTTCCACTAAGATGAGACACCTGGACATTTTGGGCTCCTTATGCTGCTGAACAAGCCTAAGGAAGTGGCTGGGGGGGGGGGGGGGGTAATCTACTTGTCAGAGTGTTTGATCCCAATTACAAAGAAGAAACTGAGTTCCTTCTACACAATGGAGGCAAAAT